CTATAAATTACTAGATAGTGGAAAAGGGGTGGGATTAAATAAGCTCATGCTTCTTCCTGCTCCTTTTTGAACATAAAAGATATTTGTAGTTGTGGTTGCTCATTTTCTTTTTGTTTTGCTTTGTTTATTTGTCTCTTTTAATTCTATGTTGTTGTACTTTTTTAACATGTTCAAAATAAAGATTCAATCAATCAATCAATCAATCAATCAATCTGAAAAACTATTAATCCCAGAGGTAAACTGAGTTGTCATAGTAGCAAATATAGAATAACCAACAAGCACTCATATAAAATTAGTGTAGAAATATCAGAGATATTGATCAGAGATATTGATAGATAAATACAGAAATAGGTGTAACCCAGTTTCTAAAATCATCACATTTCATGTTCATTGTTTCTGCTCTTATAGCCCTTCTTTAATGACAGTGAAACAAAATCAATATATTTATGTAAACCTAAAAGGGACGCAGATTTATAATAAATTGTTATTATTTAATAATTGTCGGGCTATAAGCCGCTACTTTTTGCACAAGCTTTGAACCCTGCGGCTTTTAGTCGGGTGCGGCTTTTCTATGGATTGTCCATGATTTTTGATTTTTGTGATATCGTAAGAGGATTTGTTTTGTTTGTTCTGCTGTTGTATTGCACTACGTTGCCTGGCGGAAGGATCGGGGTTCAAGAGTGGTATGTTGGTCACATGTCCGTCCGCCAGGCAACGTAGTGCCGTGCGAAGTAGCGCGAAAAACAAACTTCAAAGTAGCGCTACGCGTTCAGCGGGAGGCGTGGATGATGAGAGGCGATAAACTTGTGAAAAGCAAGTTATGCCCAACTCCACCAGTTGATTCTGACAGTGTGGAAAAGTGTGAAAACATCCACGATCACCAACGGATTTCGAAGGGCTGGACTGCTGCATGATGGAGACACCGCCACGGCCCTTCTGAGGGTGTTCGACTCTGACACTGACAACGAGGATTTGTTTGGTTTTGAAAGTGACAACGAGGAAAGAAGCGGAGAGTGGAGGACGAAGCCATCCTGAGCCTGTTCGTTTCCGACACTGGAGAAGAGGACTTTGGTGGTTTTAGTGCGCAGGAAGAAGAGAAACATGGTGGTGAATGACTGACTTTTCTTCTTGTTAAAGCCGTGTCACTGCACCTGAGCCTAAAAGGTAGTCCGAATCTATTTTTCTGGTGTGTTGTAGGTTATTGTTATGTACTACTACATTTGTTACTCATTTATGAAGCACAGTACATGTTTCGTACTTGTAATTACCGGTACTTGTACATATACCTAAAAAGTTATGCAAATATGTACCCGTAACTTGTTTTTCAAAATATTAATAAAGGGGTGTGTCTCCAAACAGCCATCTCTTTCCTGACAATTCCCTTTGTGCATATTCTCTTACATATGATATGTCAACATTGAAACACCTGCGGCTTTTAGTCAGGTGCGGCTAATGTATGTACAAAACAGGATTTTCCCCTGATTTTAGCTTGTGCGGCTAATATTCGGGTGCGCTTTGTAGTCCGGGAAATACGGTATGTGTTTTGGTTAAACAAGGGTTTATTTTTTCCAAGTGTTGATGAGCTCTGATGAGAGCCTATTGTTTTATTCCACTCCTCTCGTGTAAGCCAATTGGTAAAGCTCTAGGTAGCTCTTGTCCCTCTTTAGTACCAGCTCCCAAGTTTTAGTGTCTTGCTTCTACAGCCGATCAGAGCAGGTGGGCTAAAACCTTTTTATCGGTAAGCTGGAGAAATTAACCTCTAACAAGTTAAAAACCATTTAAACGGATATTGTTCATGAAGTACAGTTTTGTGTTTGCTATCATAGAGGACAGAGCGACACCTTCCTTATACTGTTTTGATGTCAATCGGTTATTTTACTATGCTCAGTAATGGATATGTGGAGGTAATTTTTAGTGTATTTCCACTTGTACTATTAGGCCTATAGTAAGTGAAGCACATCTATGTTAATATTCCTATTCGTAGACTGAAGTCACCTGTTTACATGTTATTGAAATTGATTATATGCACTTTGTTCAGTTTCTGATAATTCTTTGCATATTATTCCATTTCTTAAAAGGAGTGATATACTTATATATTTGGGACGAATCCAAGGACCAGTTTAGCAATTCCAGATCCCAGAGCATTCCAGTGTTCATTGGAGCCAACCTGAGATTCTAGTGGACAATACACATATGTGCGCACACTCTTTTGCACATTGATGGACTGCAATCCTGCACTGTACAAGTAATGCGGTAGGACAGACAAACACACGCACACACTTCTCATTAGACAGAACTTTGTTGCAATACATCCATTTGTCATGGGCCCCACTGGTACCATTTGGACCTAAAAGACTCATTCTTTACTTATGCACAATTTAATTTAATTTAATTTATTTTTTTGCTACTTTGGGGGAAATTTTATATACTTCAAATCTTTGTTAAAATGTGTTGTAATTCTATGTTGTTTAAAAAAATATCTTTTTAAAAAAAGGCTTAAATCACTTAAATCACATTGTTTCCTTTAAGCCACACAACTGTGCTTTGTCTGGTTTCTCTGTCATTCATTTCTCTGTACCAGAGCTCTAAGAGTCATTCTTACTCTTCTGATACTAGCCGATATTACTAATCACCTTGGTTATTACCAATTGGTACTGTATATAAACCCACATAAGTGCTACATATAGGTATAAATAGGGGTGGGCGGTTTAAATGGTATACGGTAGAAACTATATAAATTTGGCCAACAGTAGGGATTTTAACTACCGCAATAGCACATGTTGATGGTGTAATCAAGCTGCGCCTGTTTTGGTCGAAAGCATTGCAGCGGCTGCAAGCAATATCATCTGCAAATTCTGCCGGGTGACAGTAATGGCAAAGAGACGAAGCACTTTTGGAATATGGTGCAAGCCAAAAACTGATCTTCTTCCACTTCTTTACCATTGATTCTTCTTGTCCCTGCCAACACCCCTCTCAAAAAAGCCACCTCTCCAAACACCTGGGTCATGAAAATGTGGCCAGATGATGTTCTTCTACAGGACTACTCTACAGGACTGTCTTGATCTCACAGACTGGTCCATCTTTGAACAGCAGGGTCCAGAGTCTTTCATTCAGTCTGTCCTTATCATTTCCTTACCCTAAACATTTCCTGATAACATTTACAATAATGATTACACCGCAGTGGAGAGTAGACTTTATCACAGTAGACGTCTTTCTGAAAGTGCTGTAACTAAGTTTAAGAATATAATCCACCCACTGTTATCATCTTCAATGCCCTGTACCAACACAGAGCAGAGCAGCTATCTGAACGCTACTCCAACAGAGGTTGATTATCTTGTTATTAACCTCTTAGGACCTGGCGTCCACTTATGTGGACATCACATTTTGGGTTATTTAGACCAAAATACTCAATTGTGCTCTACAACTGCCTGATATCCACTTACAAGGACATTATACTGCTACTGTTCTATCGAAATTTTTAAAAAAATATCCTCATATGTGGGTCTGATTTTTCTTAGAAACAAAAATTAGGTTAAAAAAAATCTGGTGATTCTTTGTTTTTACATTCATCGGGTCCCAATCAGCCCAAGTATCAAAGAGAAATTAAAAATGCATGCTGTGGTAGAGTTCGGGTCTTAGGAGGATAATTTTACCTCCTCACTACGTACGACTCTGGATACTGTAGCTCCA